AACATACGCTTACTAATTTAAAAGTTATTGCATGAAAACTATAACAAGCACACAATGTTTACGAGATCGATCTAACGGACCGAGCCCGTGTTGAAAGGGTTAAGTAATGCTGCTGATATTTCTGTTAGGTAGACAGCAATATATCTTAACTCCTTTTTGGATAAAAAATATGTTGCTCTGCGCCTATCATGCCTTTGAGTTATTTACAACAAAAAATGAACATTGAAATAATGAAGACGCCATTTTTTCGGGAGCTGTAGTTCTTTGCTACGAGTGCACTTCATTAAATAATATATCCTCCTAGTTTCTTTTACTAACCCCCACTGGTATAACGGTATGTTTCCGGATGTTCAACGCTAGAAACCGGGTTTCGATACCCGTGGTGGACGGAGTACAGATAGCCCATTGTGTAGCTTTGTGCTTAACTTCAAAGAAACAAAACAAAGTATTTCAATAAAATGTTATAGTTGATTCTCATCCATCTTTTTCCAAAAAAAATCTAATATGGTATGTGAATTAAAAATATGTTTTTGTACAAACAAAAAACATCAAAACAGTTTTAACCACACGTTTTAATTAAAACTTTATAATTTTGAAAGGCGTACACGACTATTTTTGAAACCACCAGTTAGTGTTTTGTATTACATATTGATCAAAATTTACTATGACAACAGAGGCCAGTGTAAAAAAACCAATTAGTTAACGAAGTAAAATGGTTCACGCAAATGATAATGGAAAATAGACAAAATTAGTACTCTTCTCCGTCGACATCCCCCTCGCCTTCAGCCGAGTCCACTCCCACCTCTTCATAGTCCTTTTCAAGAGCTGCTAAATCTTCACGTGCTTCGGAAAATTCTCCTTCTTCCATACCTTCTCCAACATACCAGTGGACAAAGGCCCTCTTGGCATACATGAGGTCAAATTTGTGGTCAAGTCTAGCCCAGGCTTCAGCAATAGCTGTTGTGTTAGACAACATACATACAGCACGCTGGACTTTGGCCAGATCCCCACCTGGAACAACTGTTGGTGGCTGGTAATTGATCCCCACCTGTTACAAAATAATAATAATAATAATAGACACTGAAATAAATAAATAAACACTGAGGAGAAAATGAATTTTTTTATGACAAGGTTTCATGTTGGGATGTTATTCTTGATTATATTTTCTTATTATTAATCTGTGCACGTAGGATTTTATGATATTTACAAAAACACTTTATATAAAGATTTGATTTTATACTTTTTTTACGTTTTAACAACTCGTTTTTCCAGCTTATTTTGCATGCCCGCTGTTTTGTGGAAAGCGAAATGTTAAAACAAAAACATTTAGTCTGGAATAGCAATATATACTTTTTTATTGGAGCCAATGAAACTTCAAGACAAACTTGTTTCTCTCATTTCGGTTTTTTCTTAGGCTTTCAGCTAGTAAATAGTAGAAAAAAAATTGTAAATTACATCTAAACAACTTTCTGTCGTATTTAACGTGGATAATACAACACACTAGTGTTAAACATACCTTGAACCCTGTTGGGCACCAATCTACAAACTGAATGGTTCTCTTCGTTTTAATGGTTGCTATAGCAGCATTTACGTCTTTGGGAACGACATCACCACGGTACAGTAAACAGACAGCCATGTACTTTCCGTGACGTGGATCGCATTTCACCATCTGATTGGATGGTTCAAAGCAGGCGTTGGTAATCTCGGACACGGTGAGCTGTTCGTGGTAAGCTTTCTCTGCGGATATGACTGGTGCATACGTTGCCAACGGAAAATGAATTCTGTGAAAATTTTCAGAGAAGATTGAACAAAAGGTGGAGTCTATCTAGTCAGCAAATTTTAACTTATAATTTCATCCGTCATTTTATTATGTTGCATTATGATTTTTCTCTGTTAATACATTTATGTTTTGTACGGAAAATACAAGACTTATAAATAAACGATTGTAATCAAAGGCATGACAAAAATACTTTTAACGACGATAAGCTATTGCCTTCTTATCATCAAATTTAAAAACCTCTCGAGAGTAGCATTAAACATGAGCTCAAAATGATGAGTCTTGCAACGAAGCTATTAATAACAAGAGCAATCAGAGAGATTGCATACCCTCGCCCTGCCGCTCCTATTCGAGATTGTATAGGTTTATATTGGATAACGTCAAATTTCTCGTACGAAAATTCAGAAAATCCGTCTGAGATCCAGAATGATTAACGATACAGATAACTTTTTGTAGTGTGATGAGGAGTCTCAAGCTTAAAGTGCCCATGAAATTGAGTAGAAATTCGATTACACGCTACAGAGTTATTAACCTAAAACCGCAAAAATTGAGTAGAAATTCGATTACACGCTACAGAGTTATTAACCTAAAACCGCAAAAATTGAGTAGAAATTCGATTACACGCTACAGAGTTATTAACCTAAAACCGCAAAAATTGAGTAGAAATTCGATTACACGCTACAGAGTTATTAACCTAAAACCGCAAAAATTGAGTAGAAATTCGATTACACGCTAC